GTCTGTGAGAAAAGCAAGCAAAAGTAAACTTTGATAATGTTTGTTTAATCTGAATCCAGCCCCATGAAGGGAGTGACTCTCTGATGAGTCAGCCTCATGCCTGCTGAAGGGTCCCTCAGTGCGAGGGCTGTGGCAGAACTACAGCAACAAGCTTTGGGACCAATGGAAACAGGAACAACCACTCAGAAGCTGACTTATAGTGCAATAGATGGATTCATTAAGACCATATCTGCTGCTTTGTCAGGAAACGTCAAGGGTCACATCACCCTGTAGGTCTCATTCATACCTACATGTTGACATGTGTTTCATCTTCTAGCTGAGATTCCTTCTGAGTCAAAATAGTTTCTGCTATAGTCATTTTATAGAAAACAACCTCAAAATGTTAGACTCTATTTAGTCAAAGAATCAAAACCACAATAACACTGAGTGAGTGACCACTAGACATAAATACAGCAGGTACAAAGGTAAATTTAGCCTTTTGTGTCCACACAAAGACCTACTCGTTCTCAGTGAAAGGTCAGTAAGACTGAATAAAAGCAGATCCTGTGTTAACTCGGCCCACTTTAAGGCTTGCTGGTTTTAAACAGTATTAAATGTGATTAATTCTCAATGCAAAGTGTGTGAGGAGAGTTACTTTTCACAGGTAACGCCAACCTAAAACTACACAGAAGCAGATTTCTTATTGGTTTCACTGAATACACTTTTTTCAATGTAAAGTGGATTTAAAATATAAAGAACACTGTAATTCAGCACTGTCAGGGAGTACTTGGCTACTCCGCTACAGGAATGTTGCCGAGAAAACCCAGAAACACAATTCACAGCTGTCAGCAACTTCACCACAAAGAAAAACTCATAGCTTTCAGTTTCCTCTTTTCTGATCTCTTGTGGGCACACACAGAAGCGAAGTGAGCCTCTGGAGCAAAATACGAGGGTTCACAAGCAAACAAACAACATGAAGGTCACTTTAGTCACTATTAAACACCTCTTTTTGCATGTCATGCCATCAACTGCATTAGTACAGGATTACACTTTTAAGACTTTTAAGATTAAGAAAAACAAATGTATAATAGAAACAAGTTGACAAGACACAAAATCCACTTCTACATGGACAAACAAGAGCTGCTTCTTCTTTTGGCGGCTCCTTTCATTGGGCAC